CGGACTTGGAAAGGAATAATATTGATCGTTACGCTTTGAAGGTTTCTCCCAAAGAAAACCGCTTCATTACTCTTTATAGTGTGCATTGCTTCATTAGAGTAGCTATAAATGTGCAGAGTTGAATAAGAAAACTCAACTAATAATAATAATAAATATAATAGCAATAATTCTGTCTAAAAATCAACCAAATACGAAAGATCCCGGGACCCGCCCGGACTTTTGGAGCCTCTGGCAGAAGGTTAAGACGGTCAAACTTTTGTAATACATACAGGATGTTTGAGCTTTACTTGTTGCTTTCGACTCTATCATAGACATGTTTTGAGGATGCATGAAGTATATGTTTGTCACTGTCTATTGCTTGCCTCGAAGTAAATGTAGCTTTATAGGAATATCGAATGTTGATTCACAATCCTCCTGAAGTTTTGGACCCAAGTAGAAAACAGCATTAGCATAATAGGAGGGTAGCAAGAATTAACTTGAACAAAAATCATGACTCGAGTTTGGCATAAATCACAATCGAAAAAACACAGGAGACTATTGAATGCAAAGCATACATTGATAATATGGAGTCGGAAATCAACTAATTCGTTAGGCCCAACATTCTGTCAGACATTATCTCAAAGTAGGGTTGGGTAGAATGTGATTTCAGCGAATCTATCGCCGATCAGCTCGTATAAAACTATTTTGGTGGCATCTCGTGATGAGAAGAATCTTAACAGTATTTTGGAGGGTAGTGGTGAGAGGAGAAGAAAGAAGAGGTTGGTTAAAGCAATTCTATAAGCATATATTCCAATTGGTAGATTTTCTTTCTAGAGCTCGGTGTCCTTGACCTGCTTCATCAGATCCTTGTAGATACGCGAGTTAAGGAACCTAGGATAAGAGTCTCGATGCATCAGCGTGTATATTTGAATCTGCGCCTCATCAAATGTATGAGGGCTTGGTTCTATCATGTTTGCATTGATAATCTCACGAACCCGAGAATCCAGACTCACCTAAATGTTTTTAAGGGCAATAAGAAAATAGGAAAGCACGACCAAACTTAACATAAAAAGAAAAGTATACAAAGAGTAATTGGGCTTCGAATAATCTCCTAAAATTAACATTGTTGGGGAAACTTTAATTTCGTATGAAAGTGGATGAAGGTCTATCTCACCAAAAGAGGACGGCTGTAACCCGGCTGCAGTACAACTGGATTCATTTGTCATCTTCTGGTGAGATTGACTTTCGAATCTCTTCTTCACTCACTTTCATAAGAAATGAAAGTCTCTTCAACAAAATAAAAACACTTAGATAGGCCCATTCTAGCCAGTCAGACGAAACCGATGAAAGTCTATACAGCCTAACCCTTTTAAGAGCAGCTTTAATTGCAATATAGAATGCTTAACATGAAGCTTGATGGCCAAATAGTTAAAATGTGATTAAAAAATAGGTAGACCTCTTAAAAGCTTTATTCTCTTGTTCCCATAAATTATACGTGTATGCCTCGAGCTTAATTCTTGTAGCATTGAAATAAAAAAAACTATATAAGGTATACCCTCTCTGGTACAAGAAATCCACTAAGCCTTAAAAAAGTATGGATTTCTAGTTTTGGTATACTTCGTGCTTTAAGCAGCAAGCAGGTATTCCAAGAAAATTGCTTCCTTCACGTGAATGAGAAAGGTTGGATCCCTTCATATTTTTTATTCTTGGCCCTTAAATAATAACTATGTTTACTTTTTTTATTGTAGAACTTCTTTGTTTCATGAATTTGCATAAGTACTGAATATACTTATTTTTCGTTTGCATGTAGGTCTTCGAGACGAATTAGGACGTATACATAACATATCTGAATATGCCTAGCCGGCGCTGTAACAGAGTTCAGAGTCATCCTGTGCTCCATTTATCCTCTTCTGTATCAAATTTGCCCATAATGAGTCGGCGCTTTCTAGTATATAAATAAATGATGATTATATTTTCTCCTGGCCATGCGTCCATACGTTTGAATATTGAATTAAGTCAGTTTCTCAGAGAAATATTCAGCCAAGGTCGCATGGGTTGCATTTTCACACAATCACATAAGTTGACCTCGCGATGGCAGTAAATTTTACCTAGTTTCGCCTGCTAAAAGGCAATCTCAGCTAGGCTGGACTGGACTGCCGTTTTGAGTTCACCGAACTCTCATCCACACCCTCAATTGAAGTCGTGCTATTTTGACATGCTACCACTACCTAACATTGATACAGATGCAACAGGGCAGAAGTTAATTTAAAGACTAACCAGACCTCTCGCATATCACATTGCTTGATGGGATAGTCAGAGGCAAACTTATACTGGTAGTTACGATCCGACCTACTTATATTCTTATTGAGTAGGTGTTGAAACTATCAGTGCTTTCTTCATCCTAGATCGCATGAAGTGATGAGTGACTGATAGTTGGCTTGTTGGCAACCTGGAAAAATTGAACGTTGAACTACCCGGCTTCGATTACAGTTAGATATGTTGATTATACCCAGGTGAGGTTGAAACAGCAGCTTAGTCCATTCAGAATATGAATACCTTTTGGAAGACAGGGTTAATTGAAATAGGCATCGTTCGACCTACTCATATAATTGTGTTAAAATTCGACTATAATTCCTTCAGCACTTCAGGTGACCTAGGGTAATTTCTAAACTTACTCAATCTTTCCTAAACAAGCTTTTTAAAACAATCATGAGCTCAGTGCGACAGGAGTGGTAGTATACTACAAATACTATTTAAATTGAATAGGAAAAGTAGAGATTGAGTACTCCCAACAGAGACTGCCGCAATAATTACTATAGCGAATAAATCGTAACGAGGTTAACCGATCAATCGTTGTCAGGACTTACCTCTCTTGGCGAAAGGATAGAGATATAGTCCTCGTAGATTAGACGAGCCTTCTCCTCCACCACTTCAGGATTAGTTTCTCGCTTCAGGTCCTCGCAGGCTGTCCAGAACATTATATTCTCTTCGCTATATTCTGACCGAAGGAACTCTCGAAACACTCGTTGTCCAACTAAAAGTTCATGTAAGAAGGAAAGAATAAGAAGAAGCGGAATCACGAAGAGCCTTAGCGAGACGGTATTAAGAAACAGCATGGTAAATGAACAATAACTTAGGTTTATGCTCTTAAAAGCGTTGAAAATTCATCGGTTATTGAGCAAACATTTATAAAGCACCTTATAAGTTTAAGAAATACTAAGTTAAGTTGCTTTAATCGAAGGTACGAAGACCAAGATGGAGTGGCCTTTTGTGTGATCGCAGTCTCCTTTCGTTGTATAGAGCTTGTTTGACCTTGCTTTCTCAACATGGTCATATTGGTAGGAAGACCTTTTGGAACGCACCTAGTCCGGGGTCCATTGTCTGAATGATTATTTCCAAAGTTGAACCATGGACGTGGTACATTCCCAGACGTTTCGCCGGCATCGTAGTCGGCATCTTCAGTGAGTATCGCCAT